CTATCATATAAATAGTTGTGATAGTTTGAAAATGAAGGTGGATGTAAGGTTTGAATAAATGGAGAAGTGACTCCATTTTTGCACAGCAATAGCAGCATCCAAGGAAGTGAGGCCCCTTGTACAGCTTCCCCTTCCTTAGCCATCTTCCTTCTGAATCTAAATAATCTCAGCATCTGTCTGCTTCTCAGGTTGGGCAGGTTAATGCTGAAGACAGCATGAAGTGATAAAATGTTTTTATCTTTATCCTTACTAAGTACGTTTCCTTTGCAGACCAGGGAAAAGGTTTCTGTACGGTTGCAGGCTATACTGCTAACCCTCAGATGTCACCTTAGCCATCCCTTCTGTGAAAGGGATTCATTCCACTAGTCCGTATAGTATAAAGGTGGTTATATGCAGGTTTATTAATAAATTTTAATAATTTTTTTGCAAATGTGTTATTCTGAAAAGCATTTTATTTTTTGATCAATTTCTAAATCTAATGAATGGACAAAATATGAAATTTTTCATAAATGAGCTACTCTTGCAGTTTCTCCCCATTTTTCTTTTTAAACAGGTGAGAAACCTCATAGATGTCACTTATGTCCATTTGCATCTGCTTATGAGCGTCATCTGGAAGCCCATATGCGTTCCCATACAGGAGAAAAACCATATAAATGTGAATTGTGTTCCTTCCGCTGCAGTGATCGAAGTAACCTGTCGCATCATCGAAGGCGCAAGCATAAAATGGTACCAATTAAAGGTACTAGGTCTTCCTTAAGCAGCAAGAAGATGTGGGGGGTTTTACAGAAGAAAACAAGCAATCTGGGCTATAGCAGACGAGCACTAATCAACTTAAGCCCACCTTCCATGGTGGTTCAGAAGCCAGACTACCTTAATGACTTTACCCATGAAATCCCGAATATCCAGACTGACTCCTATGAAAGTATGGCAAAACCCACACCAGCTGGTGGCCTGCCAAGGGACCCCCAAGAACTCATGGTTGACAACCCTTTAAACCAGCTGTCAACTCTAGCAGGACAGTTGTCCAGTTTGCCACCTGAAAACCAAAACCCCGCATCCCCTGATGTAGTTCCCTGCCCTGATGAGAAGCCTTTCATGATGCAGCAGCCCTCTGCTCAAGCAGTAGTTTCTGCCGTGTCAGCCAGTATTCCTCAGAGCTCCTCTCCCACTAGCCCTGAAGCTCGGCCATCACATAGTCAGAGGAACTATAGTCCGGTGGCAGGTCCGAGCAGTGAACCAAGTGCTCACACGAGTACTCCCAGCATGGGAAACAGTCAGCCAAGCACTCCAGCTCCGACCCTGCCGGTCCAGGACCCTCAGCTTCTACACCACTGCCAGCACTGTGACATGTACTTTGCCGACAATATCCTTTACACTATTCATATGGGATGTCATGGGTATGAAAATCCTTTTCAGTGTAACATATGTGGATGCAAATGTAAAAACAAGTATGATTTTGCCTGTCATTTTGCAAGAGGGCAACATAACCAACACTGATGGGAAACAATCACGTTATGCTTTACTTGGTTTGCCTTTTTGTGTTTTGTAGTTTACTGTTGTTTTCTGCAGGGGAGGGGTAGGGGGTGTCGTCCCTATTAAGGTGTTGCTAATTTAAAGTCTTATACATACAGAGTATAAATTTGACAGTGGAAACAAAAATTTTTTTTTCTTCCATAAAAACCTCATCAGGGTCATTTATGTATTAGAACAGTTGGACACGTTGGTGTCTGTTTTGACATTTGAGAATTGGAGTGCAATGATAATCTTACAAGTGGTCATTTAAATTTCTCACATTTATGGTCCATAAAAACTTCAAGGCTGATAGATACCCTTGATTTCAACATCTACACTGCAGCTAGATGTTATTTCTGCCATAATTTCAAAATGGTAAATTACTTTCTCTTACAAAATCTGTTACAATTTATTTCAATGTTTAGTGGAGGAATTGCCTTGAAAATTGCCATTAATTAAAAACTATTTAGTAAACATAGCTTAGTTGAATCAGTAGTTTAATTTCAACTGATAATAGTAAAGCAATTTCAGTGTAGTAAATCTTTCTTTTTTCCATAAGGGAAAATAAAAAACATTTAATTCTTTTAAAATTAAAGTTATAAAAATAGGTAAAAGTTCTGAAAAGAAATGAAACTTAAGACTTTAAATTGAAAATGGAGTTTAATATTTAAAATACCTGCCTATTCAACTTGTAGTTTAAACACACAGCAATTTTCCATTGGATTCTTTTTATTATACTTGTAATTTATTTTAAAAACTACAGGTAAATATATGAGAACGCTAGAAATATCAGAGGATTATCTATGAAGATGCCTTTTTTCCTTTTAATCTGAACTGTTCATTTAAATCTTCATTCTGATGTTACACGGGAGGTTGATAACGATACTGAGGATCTGTTATTCCTTCTATTCCTTTGATGACCAAAGAGGTACAGTGGAAGTCATCCATCTTTTTCCTAGGAAATGCGGTCCTTCCTGCCAAAATCTGAAGTTTCCTTTTCCTGCCTTCTATCCATTTATTGCCCATAATTTTCAAGAAAAGGTAGGTATAGAAACACATGGGAAAGTGTGATGGTGAAGTGATATTTACAAAAATGAGAACATATGTCCAAAATGAATTCTGGACTCCTCTTCAGAATTGGCCATTTAAGATATTTTCTGTGAATTCAAGTTGTAATGCTTATTTGCAGTTTTACCAGTCTTTAATGTACAGCAAGAAAACTATATAAAACTGTGAATTGAATCATCATTAGTAGAAGAGGATAAAAAAAAGTGTGGAAATAGATATAAAAATGAATTTAAACATGATACTTAATTTGTTTACAGAAATAAAACTTGCTGTATAAATCCGCAGTAATTAGTTTTGACTAGGAGGCTGTTTTTGTGTAATAACTAGCGTATTCTGAGGACAGCTTGGTCAAACAATAAAATATATTGTTACTAACTGTTGGTTTCTGTGTACTTTGCAAAATTTTTATTTTTAATTTGGTTCAAATCTTGAAAGTTACTAATTGGCTTCTTAAGCAAGTATTCTAACTATTAAGCATTATAACTAAGAAGGACTTCTACACTTAATAGTAAGTGAAAGGGTAATGTTGATGGTATAAGTCCACAAAAATCCCCCAGTGCCAAGTTAATGCATCTTCTGCCCTCCCTTCCAAATGCTAGAAAGCCATTAAAATGAGTTCTGTGGTTTAATATCCAATCTAAACGAATCTCCATCGCATTGTTGAAAAAGCAGCATCAAGGAGTTTCTGGAAACAAATCTTGTCAATCTGAGGCTTGTGAATGTAAAGTCTGCAGCCTGTTCTGCTCTGTTGCTTGGAGCGCTCGCTGCTCAGATCACTTTTAGTGCAGCCATTTCCCAATGTGTAGCTTGGCCCTCATATGTATATATTGTCAGAAACAAGTTGCTGTCATTTGGAAGCTTTTGTGGTTGTTTTTTTCTTCTATTTTATTCTTCATATAAAAGCAATACCACAAAATAGAAAATGAAAGTTTTCATTAAACAAAAAAGAACCCTCATGTTAAAACCAGTCTATTAACTGTATATTCTGGGCCAAATAGTGACAAATACATTTTTTTTCTGACAACTAAAGAGAGATGTTTTGAAAGTACATTTTAGTTCAAACAGATTTTTTTTCACAATTGCAAACTAGAATGTATAATTTTAAAATTCCTAGGACTTAAAGAGCACAGTTGTATTCCAAAGGTATCGATGCTTGAAAGCTGTAGTTAATTCTAAATGCACTAAAGTTTTTGAAGCAGATCTACCTTAGAAACTTTTTTAGTATTGTATTTTTAAAAATATTTAGGATTTTATTTAAATTTTTTGTGAGTTAAATTCTGTATTGGAAAGATGTTAGTATCTTCTATTAAGTATTGAATATGTTTCTCCCATTTTATTTTTAATCAAATATTTTATAGAAATGAGTTCAGAAAAGTTTAACATGCACTATTTATAATACTTTGCTGTTAACAGGCAATGTTCTGAAACTAAATTTATTTTTGTTCAGTGAACATAAGTTTAGATTTTTAAAGTTGGTAGATACTTTATCTCCACTAATATTTTTTTAAGAAACTGTGAAGAGATTAACAGGGAGTAATTTTATTTCAGATTTTATGAATATAGTATGTAGCTACAACTTCTTGAAATTCAAGTAAAGGTTAGACTTTTACTTTGAAAAAATTTCACTGGATATTTTCCAGTGCTATTTCATTTTAGAAATAAGTGTTTGCCATTCATCTGCAGAACTGTTTGACAAAGGGAATATTACTAAAAAATGTTCAGAGATAAACCTCATTTAAGTTCTACAAAAATATTTATCAAATGGATGTATTATTTTTTAAAAAATTCCCTGCTAAGGACTTTTCATTAATTAGTCTTAGAGGGTATATGGTTTCTAGAACTTGGTTTTGTTAATATGTACTTTGATGTCAAGAACGTATTTTGTATGTAAAACATAAAACTTGAGTATGGTTGCAAAACACACTATTGTTTAGGGATTCCAGAAAGCAGTTTAATGCTGAAATAACTCTATCTAGTATGTAGTTCATATTGTGAATGAAGCTTTGCTTTTGTAATATATGAATAAAAAATAACTTTTTAATGACCTCGATTTTTCTTTTTTGAAAACTAGGATCCAATTAGTTTTTTAAGTAATTTTCCAGTGTGTAAAATGTTAATTTTTTTTTATTTTATGGCTACCTTGGTTTGGATTTGTAGAGTGCCTTACCCATGAGAACATGTTGCATGAGTTAAAAGCAAAAACAGTTCAATAATGAGCATCTTGTCTCCTTCCTAATTTCTTCTCTTTATTTAAGGTGTGACCCCTGCCCCCCCAACTGTTCTGGCACATAAATGAGGAAGGCTTCATGCCTCCTGATGCTTAATTATCTGATGCTTAATTATCCATGTCACATCTGACAAGTGACTGAAGTAGTTTCTGTTATGACAAATGGATCTTTTAGAATGGACTGATTCCCCCCCCCTTTGGCAATTCACATCATTGGCCTAGAAAACACCCAGTAATACAGAATTGTTTAAATTAGTTTGCAAAATCGTAACCAAAATGGCTTTGATTGGAAATCAAGTTTTAATGCTGCTTTGAAAAATACTTCCGTACAATGTTATCTTTCTCATAATGAAAAAAAGAAATAACATCTGATAAGTCCATGGTTTGTTGAAAGCACAGGTATTTTTTGTTTCCTTGTCTTAGGTCTTCCAAAAACTCTGCTTTGAGCTTGTTAAGTTCTTCGGCTAGAAGTTTCAAGTTGTACGGAAACAACTGTTCACCTAAAATAAAGATATTCTCAAATTATTTGTGTAAATTAAATCAAGCTGGACTGATGACAGCAGGAAATTAATTTGATTACTTCAGACAAACCATTCAGATTCTTCTATAAATCATAATTGAGTTGGTGTAATATATAGACAAAGGTCACATTAATGTGATACAGGCAGCTCATTTAAATAACTTGCTATGACATGAACGAGCAGAAAAGACAAACCTGAAAGGGACTTTTGACAAAATAAGTTGACTTAGTCTTATTGAATTAACAGGTAGTAAGGCAAAAAAGCAGAGCTAGAAAATGACAATTTGGCTTTGAAGCTCTGATAGACAATACCTAGAACAGTTGTCCAATATAATTTTCTACAATGATGGAAGTACTCTATATCTGCCCTGTTCTATCCAGCAGCCACTAGCCATGTGGGTAGTGTGACTGAGAACTGATTTTTTTGTTGAACAGCTTTACAGAGATATAAGTCACATAACATACAGTTTACCCATTTAAACTACAACTTAGTGGTTTTAGTATATTCACAGATATAAGCAACTATCACCACAGTCAATCTTTGAACATGTTTATCATCTGTACTCTTAGGTATCACCCTCTTAACTCCATTCCCCCCCTCTCTGCCCTCAATCCCTAAGCAACTGTTAATCTACTTGGGGTCTCTAGATTTCCCCATTGTGGACATTTCACATGACTGGACTCATAATGTGTGGCCTTTTGTGACTGGCTTCTTGCACTTTGCATAATGTTTTTAAGGTTCATCCATGTTGTAGTACTTCATTCCTTTTTGTGGCTGAATAATCCATTGTATGGATAGACCACATTTTGTTTGTCAGCCGATGGACATTTGGGTTGCTTCTACCTTTAGGCTATTAGGAATAATGCTGCTATAAGCACTTGTGTGCAAATTTTTATAGGAACATATGTCTTCATTTCTAGGTCCCGTGGTAATTGCATTTAATTGTCTGAGGAACCGCTAGGCTGTTTTCCAAAGCGGCTGCAGCACTTTACATTCCCAGCAATGGCATATGTGGGTTCTGAGTTCTCCGCATCCTACCTCTTGGACTTTTGGATGCTAGCTGTCCTAGTGGGTGTGCAGTGGTGTCTCATTGTGGTTTTGGTTAGCATTTCCCTGATGACTGATGATGTTTTCATGTGGTTACTGGTCATTTGTATATCTTCCCTGAAGAAATTTCAGATTCTTTGCCCATTTAAAAAATTGGGTTATTTTTATTATTGAGTTGTGAGAGTCCTTTATGTATTTCGGATATAAGTCCCTTATGAGATGTGATTTGCAAATATTTTCTCCAATTCTGTGGGTTGTCCCTTCACTTCCTTGATGGAAGGAGAACTGAATTTTTTTTCCGTTTTTTTTTTTTTTTTTTTTTGTGATACGCGGGCCTCTCACTGTTGTGGCCTCTCCCATGGGCCCAGCTGCTCTGCGGCATGTGGGATCTTCCCAGACCAGGGCATGAACCTATGTCCGCTGCATCGGCAGGCGGACTCTCAACCACTGCGCCACCAGGGAAGCCCAGGAGAACTGAATTTTTAAATTTTATTTAAGCACAGTTCTAGAAGCTAGTACCACCTCCTTCACACACACACACAAAATTAATGGGTAGGAAAAGAGTCAAGAGTAATTTGGGCATAACCCTATTCCCCCTTCCCTTCATTTTATGGACAGGCAAATAGTTGAAAGAACTCCTACAACTATTTTTGTTTTCATTCTGATCCGATGCCATTTTTGTTCCAGCTCTCTTTTTCAAACTTTGGATTACAACGCATACTAAGATGGAATCAAATAGAACACAGTTCATTAAACATGTGAAGGTTTTGTGAAACTTGTTTCTATGCAGGAGTGTGTCTGTGTACTGGGCTACACACTAGGTTACAGTATTAAAACCTGCTTACGGATCATGGTTCAAAAAAAGTCTGAAAAACAATATGGTTAGTATATTGTTTATTTTTCCAATGTTCTAAGTTTTTGTAAAGGTATTAATAATAAATGTTGGTGATGTGGGGGAACATGACAGAAAGCACCAACGAGAATCAGACTTAGCTCAGCAACAGGTTGCCCAGGTACAGTATTTAGCAGGTGTTAAGTTCAGCCTTGGGCAAGTTACTTATCCTCTCAGACCTTCCATTTCCCCATTTGTAAAATTACACTTACTTGATAGGATTCTAAAGACTAGAAACAATATTTATAAGGCACTTAGCATATAAAAGGAGTTCAAGAAATGTTAAGCTGCTGTTATTTTTTAAATCAAATTTTAAATATAGCAAAGAGTTCAATATTTAAAACCTGAAGGAGGGCTTCCCTGGTGGCGCAGTGGTTGAGAGTCCGCCTGCCGATGCAGGGGACACAGGTTCGTGCCCCGGTCCGGGAAGATGCCACATGCCACGGAGCCTGCGCGTCCGGAGCCTGTGCTCCGCAACGGGAGAGACCGCAGCAGTGAGGGGCCCGCGTACCGCAAAAAAAAAAAAAAAAGAAAAAACAGAAAGGAATTATTTTATAAAACTATAATTATCACATATTTCATCTAAGTTCAGACTGACAATGCACTAAGCCTGTTCAAACTCCATGCTGATTTTACACCTGGCCCCTGACTACCTCTCCCCATCCCCTCACCCCAGACTCAATGGCTTTTTTTCTGTTCTAGAACATACCAACTTTACCTGTGGACTTTTGCACTTGATGTGTCCACTGCCTAAAATGATCCTGCAGGCATCAGCATGGCTTGCTGTTCCCTTTCATTCACATCTTTGCTTCAATGCCATTTCCTCTGAGAAGGCTTCCTGATTACCCTTTTAAAAATAAATCCTCCCATCACTACCTTGCCTTACCCTACTTTACTTTTCTTCAGAGCACCGGCATATATTCATGTATTTATTTATTTTTTGTGTCTCCTCACTATGATGTTCTGCTCCCTCTCAACTCCCCAGTATCCAAAATAAAGCCTAGTACAGAGTAGCCACTCAATAAAAACCTATTGGATGGATGAATGCCTGGTTCCAGAGGTAGAAGTTTTAGCTTAATATTACCAAGTTGCATATTTAAACTGAAAACATGATGTAAACTTTATGAATGAAAGCAAATAAACTACCCACGTCCACGGAACAAGAGTAGCAGGAAAGAATAGTCTCAACTAAATAGAATCTTAACCACTCAACACACCTTTCGCTTCCTTCATTGTCTGAGAGACAATTCTTCGGAGGGTCTGATCAGCTTGATGAAGAATGTTAGTTGAACAAATAATTCTGTCTGTTTCCTAGGTAATAGACATTGTTATTGGAACAGTTATCTAGTTTTACAAAAGAAATAACTAAAGTGTAGGGGATGCATAGGTGAAGAGATACAGAAAAGGAAACGTGACTTTTCTGTTCCAGTTATTCTTCCCTAGGAGAGGGTCTAAACGAAATACATCCAGTTGTAAACTGGGTTCCACGTAGGCAGTATGCTGGTAAATGTCTAAGAATGGGCTCTCAAAGAGAAAAACACAAACCTATCCATAGCATTTTGTCTATTTCTACGACGTAAATATTCCCATCCACGCCCACTTGGAGCTACCAACATGTCAACAGGCTCCAACGTTTCTGAAAATTGAACAGTCGTCTTTGACCAGGCAGTGCAAGCTCCCTCCAGAGTACCACTGCATCCAGGTGTCAGGAGCTGAATGCTGGTAAGATGCCAAGGCAGGGACAAAGTGTCTCCCAAGTGTTATTCATATTTTACACTCAGGTCAAAAAGATCTTCCTACAAAAAGTTCCTTCTCATTTATACTAAATCTAAACTGGAAGACTTACCTTTTGTTCCACATTCTCCTCCACGTATTTTATTGGATTTTCCAAAGCAGTAAGCAGTAAATCAGTCAATTTCAGTCTATAAGAGAAGGTAGGACAAAATAAATCCTTATATCAAACACCTGTTTTTAAAGAACTTGTGTTTATGGGTACTAAGCTGAATTCTAGAGGAATGAAAGTGGTATATCCAAACTCCTGAACAAAAGGGGAAAAGCAAAGCGATTTGGGAGCTACCTTCTACTTGCAAAATTAAAATGTAGAAGCTCAAAACAAGTCATAAGCCCCCCAAATCCCCTCATGTAAAAAAATGTTAATTTCCTAAGACTCCTATCAATATGGTTTTAAAAGACATTCTCTCTTTTCCCTCATTAACTGCTGAACTTTAGGCTCCTAGAACTTTATATTCCCTAAAGAAGGAAGCTTAGTCTTTATTTTCTGGCTTCTGCTCATTTACTGGATGTGAATTTGCAAAGTTCCCCACAGGACAAGAGGTCATCGAGGGTTGCAGTAGAATTCATTTATTCATTTAACAAATGTTTATTGAGCATCTTCATATATGAAAAGTGTTGTACAACTATGTATGTGAAACTATGTGCTAAGCTGGGGGGGTAGCAAGATCCCTACCCTCTCTAAGCCTGATAACGTAATGGAGAGAGAGAATAAATAAATAAGCAAAAAATAATAGTTTCAGACAGTGACAAGTGGATAAGTGAGTGAAGATAATGAACAAAATGATCATAAGAGAGTGACTGGCTAGCCTACTTAACACCCTTCCCGCTGGGTAGGATGGTCAGGGAAGCCAGTGAAGCTTACATACGTGGGAAGGGTAGAGGGGACGGCAAGCACTATGGCCCCGAGACAAGAACAAGCTTCTCGTGTTCCGGGGACAGAAAAGGCCAGTGTGGTTGAAAAGGAGCAAGGGGAGAGTCGTGGGACATGAGGCTGGGGAGTTAATCAGGATTAGAGCTGGGGGGCGGGGAGGATAACTTGGGAGGTTGGAATCGACACATACACACTACCATATATAAAATAGGTAACTAACAAGGACCTACTGTAGAGCACAGGGAACTCTACTCAATACTCTGTAATGGCCCATATTGGAAAAGAATCTAAAAAAGAGTGGATAATATATATTATTAAGTGAGTCAGGTATAACTGACTCACTTTGCTGTCACCTGAAACTAACACAACATTGTAAAGCAACTCTACTCCAATAAAAATTAAAAGCAAACAAAGAAATTTAGGGATCAGATTTAAAATTCCAAAAAAAGGAAAAGAAAAGAAAGTACTGAATGTCATGTCTCTGAGAATATAAATTATGAAGTCTGTCACTCAAATATCATGTACATGACAGGCAGATTTTCATCTGATGAGATTTTTAATTATACGAAGTGAAAACTTTTAATGCAATCATGAGAGAGTTACATGTCAAAGTAAAGCTCTAATTTAAGTTTTCCAGAATAGTCTCATCTTAAAAAACAAGATTCTTTTCCCCCCAGCGTTCCACTCTCTGTTTTTGCTGACCTAAACTTTTCCCCCTATGAGTCACCCAACTAGAAAAACAAAACATCTTCCTTGAATGGACATATTTTTAGTAAAAGAATAGAACGTTAAAAAAAAAAGAAATCAGGGTTAGAGTGTGCAAGTTATGGTAAGGAGTTTAAATTTTACTCAGATACAAGGAGTAGCACTGAAAAAACGTAAGCCAGTGAAGTCACTGAATTAAACGTTCGCCTCAACGTGATCTTTCTCACAAAGAAAAGAGCCCAGGTTCTGGAATGAGTGAGACTGCAATGGGTCCAAATCTTGGCTCTGCCATTTACTATCTGCATATGTTACTTTACTTACCTGGGCCTCAGTTGTCCCATCATGAAAGGGGGATAATTGTATCTGCCCTCAAAGGGTTGTTGTGAGGACTGAGTCAGATTATACGTATAAAGTGTCCAGAACTTGCCCAGGACATAGTATCTGCTCGACAGCTGTTCCTGCTAATAGTATACTAGTAGTAGCATTAGTAGTGGTAGTGGTAACAGTAATGGTAGTGGTAATAGCAGTAGTGGTGATGGTAGTATAGTAGTAGTAGCAGCAGCAGCAGCAGCAGTAGTATTTCACAGAAGCCTGGGAAAGGTATATTTGTCACATCATCTTTCAACTTCCAATTCAGGGCCACCAGACTTCAGACTTCAGTCATAGCCATGCTATGACTATTCTGGACCATATTCTTAAGACCCAAAACAAAACTGCAGATTATGTTCAGGGTTGGCACTGACACTGGCAAAGCTCACACTCTTCCTTGCTTCTAGCAAGAACTGGCCCCCAGAGCAGTGATGCTAACCTTAGACTGCTCTCATGGGGTAAAATGGGGTATCTCAATGCCTCAACCAGCCATTCACTTGCAAAGGAAAACATTTTCAGTACTCCAGAAAGAGTAGCCATCAACTGGCTACACGCTCGCCTTCTCAGAGTTTCAAGATATTATGAGAAGTTAGAATTAGAAATCTCAGCCATAGCTTATTTCATTAACCCTATAAACAACAGTTACTTAAATCGAATTTTTTCTTTTTTCCTTAGAATGTTAGAGTATTACAAAATCCGTGGAAACTGTATCCTGGGAACAAAACATTTTGAGGAATGAGTTTAAAAAATTAGCCTTTTAAAAACTGCTGATCCCCTCTGGACAACAGTCAGGCAGGAACTAAGGAACTGTGGGCAATATACCTCTCGAACTGCACTGTCCCATGCAGCAGCCGCAGGCCACATGCAGCCAGTTAAGTTTAAAGTGATTAAAATAACATTTAAAATTCAGGTAGTAAGTTGCACTGGCTATACTTCAAGTGCTCAATGGTCAGTCGCATGTGGCTAGCAGCTACCATGCTGGGCAGGGCAAACAGAGAACATTTCTATCATCAGTGAAACTTCTATCAGAAATGTGCTAAACTAGAACTCTCCAGAACTCTCGAACTCTCAAGACCTATTTTAGGAATGAAATGCATTAGGCACCATAGCCACAAGCCTCACATCTACACAAGCAGTGTAGGTTTTAGGCAAATTAGGATTTAGTACCAGTTCCACTCCTTTTCTCTCTATAAGAAGACTACTGGGCAATCTATTTAGACTATGCTACTTCAACAAGAGTATCAGAGATGTGCCCTACTCTGAACTCCCTGCCCTGACCTCTGGGAAACAGTATAATTTTAACAAGAGTACACATCTGCAAACAAACCTGGGTTCACGTCTCAGCTGTAACTTACAATCTCAGTGACTCTGGGCAAACTAAACTTCCTCAGTTCCCTCTTCTAAAGAAAGGGAAAATAATGTCCTTCTCCAAGGCTTGTGTGAAGAGTAACCGGGTGGATACAGGGAAAGCATTCAGCACAGTGCCTGGCTCAGCAAAGCAGCTAGTGAAGGACACCTTTGAGTAGGCTACCTGGCCTCTGAAGTACACGCTGGGCTCTGAATTGTGAGGCTGTTGTGTTCCCAAGCATTTTTCTCAGGGTTGGGCTTTTCTATCTTGCTTCCCATCAGGTGGATGGTCTCGGCAGGCACTGGAAGTGGTCTCTGGCCATTCCTCTGTAGACAGGTCTCGAGAGAACATTCTAAAAAGAGCTGGCAAAAGCCTAATGAATCTGAAAACCATTCAAAAACCACAAAATTACTCGGGTACTATTTTTCCAAAATGTGAAATAAACGTACTTAGACAAGTTATCCCACCTGCAGCAGGAAAGACCATTTGCAATACTGAACGTGTAGCTTTGAAAATTAAGTAAATCCATATAAACCTCCTAATCCAATCAAGTTCTCACTAAAGACAGTAGTGATTTTGATATGCGAATGTCTGAGTGTAAGAAAAAAAATGTGTTAATTACATTTCCGAGCCAGCTGATAGACTTCATATCTCATACTTTGATAATAAAAGTTGTCATCTAAAATCAAAAGCAGAGGTCTAGAAACAGCAGTCTTCGTTAAGAGATAGTGAGACTGGGCCTCAAGTGCTGAAGAAGATATCAGATCTTGATCCTTCAAGCAGGTTAGAAAATCCTCCCACATGGCTTCAGTCCTGCTGGGTGGGGCAGACATCTGACACCCGTTAATGACAGCCAGAAAGAAGTATTCAAGGTACTTCAACAGTTCCTGGCGAAGCGATTTCCACTGGGATGGCTGCAAAATACCGTAGAATTGCAATTTATATTAGGCTTTGGCCAGTAGAGTGGTCATGCCTCAACAACCCCCTGCTCCATATGATAATTTCTGAACCATTTGGAGTTCTCTAGACACAACTTGCTTTCTCATCCTCATGTCTTCATATACGCTGTTCCCTCTGCCTGAAAAACTACTCAGTGATGTTAGTTCTCTGTGAACTCTTCTCAGACTCAACCATGCAGAAGGCAGCTCAGATCGTCCCTTGCCTATCATGACACCCTGTTCTGTGTATATTGGGTCTCCACTTTAACAGGGTTTACATTGTTTAGGTATCTCTATGTCCCTGCTAGATCAATAGTCTACTGTATACCCAGGCTTCAGCAGAGGGTCAGACACCTAATAGATGCTCCAGAAATGTATATGAAATGACTGAATGAATAAGTGAATAAATGAAAGAATGAAAAGCTGTTACCATCCAGGAGAAAGGAGGAACCAAAATCAATATGCTGGGACTTCCCTGGTGGCACAGTGGTTAAGAATCCACCCGCCAATGCAAGGGACACGCATTTGATCCCTAGTCCAGGAAGATCCCACATGCTGCAGAGCAACTAAGTCCGTGCGCCATAACTACTGAGCCTGCGCTCTAGGGCCCATGAGCCACAACTACTGAAGCCCACGCGCCTAGAGCCCGTGCTCCGCAGCAAGAGAAGCCACCGCAATAAGAAGCTCTTGCACCGCAATGAAGAGTAGCCCCCGCTCGTGGCAACTAGAGAAAGCCTGCGTGCAGCAACGAAGACCCAATGCAGCCAAAAAAAAAAACACAAAAAAAACAATATCCTGCCAAGATAAAATAGTCTAGCTAAGATACAGCAATGCTCATTTGCCCTTGAAATAAGAAAAGTTGTAGATAGAAAGAGGATCAGCTGAAAGGTCCCTGGGTCCAGGTGAAAAGACCTCAGGCTAACAACAGGATTGGAATGGGATCGGGAAAGATAGAGGAAGCAGACTGAGGAGAAGAGAATAAATAGCTTGAAAATATAAGTAGTCTTGCACTACTCAAAGGCTCTGGTGAACACTGACATAGTTATGAGGTCAAGGCTGGAGGGAAAACACAAGGACAGGAGATCAGGATCCCTCTCCTGTCTGTCCATGCTCTACCACATCACTGAGATTATGGCACATAAAACAAATACATCAGCAAAACCCACTCAAAAGGAAACAGAAACACGATCACTTCCTAAAAGGTGAGATATCCTACTCGTGGTGACTGGATGAGCTCCATGGCCTTGGTCTGTAGGGGGAGAGTGGAAAAAATATAATAAGAAAAGTGAGGGAAAACCCCAGCAGATACAACAATCCCTATCAACAACTTCCAGCTTTCTCCATAGTGGTAAAAATACTATTACTTAAGTAAATCCGGTGCTACCAGGGGCCTGATACTGTATTTACCTCACAATTAACCAAGAATGAGGAAGTATATAACTTTGGTGGAGAAGTTCAAAACTCTTCCATGTGCCAAATGTACTGTATTTTTGCATATATACTTAGAGTGGAATCACACCATATGTGAATCTTATTTATGTAAATTCATCTACATTCGGCACTAAATGACAAAAATAACTTTAAAATTTTCAGAATATGTTAATCAAAGAGTATTTTCTCTAGAGTGAGCATGAGATGGGTGACGTGAATCTACTCTTCCCCGCGGAAGTCTCAGTTTTCTCAAGGGGATGCATCTCACAGCGCTGAGGGTGATCGGAGGGCTTAAAGAGAAGTATGTACTGGGAACCCAAGCTGACCCCTAAATACAAAGCCTATTACTTCATCTGGTGGTCAACTAAGAAAGAGCCATCTTTTCCTATTCTGGCAGAAGCAGGTTTACCCTCGGTTGAATGAAGATCCAGCTTCAGAGGCCAAGTCCTTCATTTGTACAGAATCTATTGTCACAGGAGGGGCCCTAGTAAGTACGCTGTCACTTATAATTTTGTACGCTTTTTCTTTAAAAGGGTTTCCCCAAACCGCATAACTTAAAGCCCCACAATACCTGGGTTCGCCTGGCTGAATGTTAAATTGGCTGTGCTGGAATTTTTGAGAGATTCTGTCCTTCTTTTCAGAACAACTTTCCCAAAGGATTTTCAGGAGGATATTTGATTATGGGGGACTTCCACCTTGCACGCTGACTTCAGACCCTAACCTTATGCTGGTGGCTTGTTTGCATCGTTTCCTATTTCTAGTCAACTCATTCTGTGTTAAACCAGCTCCCCTTTCCTCGAACTCCTGTCTCTCCTCTATCAGAGATCCACCTCCCACACCAGGTATTACCCAGTACAAGTATCGTGGAGTTTGTAGATTTCCCTCCGCTACAGCAGTCTAGGCCCCGCCCCCTCCGTACTGACCAATGGGCGAGCGCTCGCCTCCTCTAGGAACGCGTCTGGCATGACGTCATCATAGGCGACGACGCCCACGGCCCAGCTACTCTCCTGCCGTAGACGGTGGCTGAGGGCACGCGCGAAGGTCGACTTTCCTGCTGCGGGCAGTCCGCAGAGGACGCAGAGACCTAACTTCTTCGGCTTCTCGCTGCGCGCTCCTCTGGCGTCCTCGCTTGCCTTCATGCTGTCGCGAGAGACCCGAGGTGGCTGTGAGCGTTGTCTGCGGAAATGTCCGCCAACTGCGCATGCACACTCCTACCGCCCTCTTGCGTCGCCTGTTGGCGCAATGGAGGAATGGGCGAGCCTTCGGCTCCAAACACCATGCGTGGTGGCGGTTGTATCCGAGGTCGTCCCCTTGGTCGCCGGAACCCCTGGTACTAAGCTTTCTGTGAGGCGAGTCCTCTAGTCTGGTAAGTCCACGGGGATGCGTTTCGTAAAACCTGGACGTTTCCTAAAGGGTCGTAAAGTTAGACAAACTTCAGTTAGAATCATCCTTCCGGAAACTTGCAAACCATTAGGATCTGCGCCTCGGGCTTTTGTTTGTTGGTTTTTACGATGAAGTCCCTTGCCTAGGAAAATCGCTGAAGGGACTTCGAGTCTTTTCCTCCAGCAGTCTTTGGAAGGTCAGTTACTGGAAATCAAAAAATAGGAGTCGAATCTGGGTCCGACGACTGTGCTCCGCTGCCCCTCACAGATGTGATAGGTGGAAGGGCAAAGTAAATAGTAGTCATTGCATCCTAACGCCGCCAGTCGGCAGCAAGTGCGAAGAAATAAAGGCAGGAAAGGAACATCCCCAGACTTCAAGCCCAGTGCATTCATGCAGAAAACACTAGGTATTTTAGTGTTAAAAAAGAAATGCTAAGCTGTGAAGAAGTATAAAACAAATTCTCTCTGTAGGGATGTGGTGTAGAAAAATTGAATTCATATTCTAGCTTTCACCTCATTTTAGGAGATTACTTCTTAGTCATATGAAATTATGTTTAAAATGTGAACGAGTGAAAATCAGTGTATACTGGGACAAAATATAATCAATAACCCAATGCTAAATCTGATATATTTTTGATTACAGAGCATGTACACATAATCTCATTTTTTTTCTCTTGGATTGAAGGTGAGCATTGAATTAAACATACTTTTCATTTCATGACATTTTATTGTCATAGGCCCAGTGCAAGATCCCTCTCCTTTATTATTTTTCATCACTTATCCACACTCACACTCATTTCCTCCCCTTTTCCTAGGCAACCTTTTTTTTTTTCTCGTTTAAACATGGTTATTGTTTGTTTGCTTATTTTAAGATAGACTTTTTAAAGAGCAGTTTTAGGTTCATAGCAAAATTGAGCAGCAAGTACAGAGAGTTCACATATACCTCCCCCCGCCCCCAGTCTCTCTGGCTATCAACATCCAGTGTGGTACAGTTGTTACAATCGATGAACCTACACATACTATCGCCCAAAGTCCACAGTTTACACAGGGTTTACTCTTGGTGTTATACATTCTATGAGTTTTGGCAAATGTATGATGATGTGTATCCATTATTGTAGTGTCATACAGAATAGGTTCACTGCCCTAAAGATCCTCTGTGCTCTACCTGTTCATCTCTCCCTACCTCAGCAGCTGGTTATCTTTTTGCTGCCTGCATAGTTTTGCCTTTTCCAGAAGGTTATATAGTTGGAATCATACAGCCTTTTCATATTTGCTTCTTTCACATCTTTCATGGCTTGATTGCTTGTATCTTTTTAAGCGCTGAATGATATTCCACTGTCCGGATGAATCACAGTTTATTCATTCACCTACAAAGGTTACCTTGGTTGCTTCCAAGTTTTGGCAATTGTGAATAAAGCTACTATAAACATCTGTGTGCAGATTTTTGCATGGACATAAATTTTCAACTTATGGTATCTGGGTAAATACCAAGGAGCGTGATTACTCGATCTTGTGGTAAGAGTATGTTAGTTTTGTAAGAAAGTGACAGACTGTCTTCCAAAGTGGTTGTATCATTTTGCATTCCCACTGCAATGAATGAGAGTTCTTGTTGCTTCATATCTTTGTCAGCACTTGGTGTTGTCAGGGTTTAAAATATTCTAATAGGTGGGTAGTGTAACCAAACAGGACCCTATGGGGCCTTCCCAGAACAGACCCCGCCCCCCCCCCACCATGTCCTCCGCCTGCCTCTTGTCTGTAGAAACACTTTAGCCTCCTAGGCCTTCCCCAGGTTCCAAACAGTAAATTTAATCAGAGAAGTGAGAAAATGCAGAAAGAAAGGAAAACAGTCAAGCAAGACAAAATAATAATAGTTTAGTCATTAAACAAAGTCAAGGACCTTTACTTCCTCCTCAAGGGTTATAGATAATATTCTGAGCCAAGTCCTTTGAGCTGTTTTGCAGATACTGAAATCCCCACTAGGCGGAAGAAGTTAACTCTATGCTGCTAACAAGCACGTATGCATGGGGGCCCTGGAATCAATCTCCAGCAGATACTGAGGGATAACTATCTTCTCCGGTGAGGTTTTTGTTCATATCTTTTACCCATATTTATACTGGGTTGTTCATTTTCTTACTGTTGAGTTGTAAGTGCTGTTTGTATCTTTCGGATAACAGTCCTTTATATGTCTTTGCAAATATTTTCTCCCGGTCTGTGGCTTGTCTTCTTGTTCTCTTGACACTATCTTTGGCAGAGTGGAAGTTTTTCATTTTAATGAATTCCAGCTTACCAATTACTTCTTTCATGGATCGTGTCTTTAAAGTTGTATCTAAAATGTCATCACCAAACCCAAAGTCATCTAGATCTTTTTTCTATGTTATCTTCTATAAGTTTTATAGTTTTGCATTTAGCATTTAGGTCTATGATTACATTTGAATTAATTTTTGTGAAAGATAAAAATCCTGTATCACATTTTTTTTTTTACATGTGGTTATCTGTTTTTTCTACCTCCATTTTGTTGAAGACTTTTTTTCCTCCATTGCATTGTCTTTGCTTCTTTGTCAAAGATCAGTTGACTATACTTGTGTGAGTCTATTTCTGGGCTCTGTATTCTGCCCACTGATCTGCCTATTCTTTTTGCCAATACCACACTGTCTTGATTCCTGTAGCAGTAAAGTTGGGTAGTGTCAGTCCTCTGACTTTGTTCTTCTCCTTCAATACTGTGTTGGCTATTCTGGGTCTTTTGCCTCTCCATATAAACTTTAGAAAAATTTTGTTAATATCCACAAAAGAACTTACTGGACTTTTGACTGAGATTGTGTTGAATCTATAGATCACACTGGGAAGAACTGACCTCTTGACAATATTAAGGCTTTCTATCCATGAACGTGGAATATCTCCTTTCATTTAATCCTTCTTTGGTTTCTGTCATCAGAGTTTTGCAGTTTTCCTCACATAGACCTTGCACAAATGTTGTTAGGTTATACCAAGTATTTCATTTTTAGGGTGTAATGTAAATCATATTGTTTTAAATTTGAAATTCCACTTGTTCGTTGCTAGTGTTATGAAAGCAGTTGACTTTTGTATGTTAATCTTGTGTCCTGCAACCTTTCCATAATCACTTATTAGTTCCAGAAGTTTTTGGTTGATTCTTTGGGATTTTCTACGTAGACAGGTCATCAAAGACAGTTTTCTTTCTTCCTTCGCAATCTGTATACTTTTCATTTCCTTTTTCTTATTACATTAGCTAGAGCTTCCAGTATGATGTTGAATAGGAGTGGTGAGACATTCTTGCTTCGCTCCTGATCTTTGTGGGAAAGCATCTTGTTTCTCACCATTAAGTATGATGTTAGCTGTAGGTTTTTTTGTAGATGTTCCTTTTGATATTTTATTTATTTATTTATTTTTGGCTGCGTTGGGTCTTCGTTGCTGCACATGGGCTTTCTTTAGTTGCAGCGAGCGGGGGCTACTCGTTGTGGTGCACGGGCTTCTCACTGTGGCGGCTTCTCTTGTTGCAGAGCACAGGCTCTAGGCACGCAGGCTTCAGTAGTTGTGGCACGTGGGCTCAGTAGTTGTGGCCCACAGGCTTAGTTGCTCTGTGGAATGTGGGATCTTCCTGGACCAGGGCTCGAACCCACGTCCCCTGCATTGGCAGGTGGATTCTTAACCACTGCTCCACCAGGGAAGTCCCTGTAGATGTTCTTTAGCAAGCTGTAGTTCCCCTCTGTTCCTAGTTTGCTAAGAGGTTTTTTTTTTTTATCATGATGAAAATGTTAGATTTTGTCAAATGCTTTTTCTGCATCTATTGATATGACTGTGACTTTTCTTCTTTAACCTGTTGATATATTACATTAATCAATTTTCAAATGTTCAGCCAGCTTTGCATGCCTAGAATAAACCCCACTTGGTCATGGTGTCTAATCCTTTCTATACATCGCTGGATTTAATTTGCTAATATTTGGTTGAGGATTTTTGCCTATGTATTTATGAGAGATATTGGTCGTTGGTGTTTTTTTCTTGTAATATCTTGTAATGTCTGGTTTTGGTATTAGGGTAATGCCGGTCTCATAGAATGAGTTAGGAAGTATTCCCTGTTTCTATCTTCTCAGAGATTGAAAAGAACCGATATAATTTCCTCTTTGAATGTTTGGTAGAATTCACCAGTTATTTTGGACCAGTTATCTTTTTTAACAACCTGTTTTGGAACAGAATGATTTTTTTAAATTTTTATAAAAATTGTTTTATATTCCAGAACATCAAAACGAACTATTATGACTTCAAGTTTAGGTGTCCACTATCTAAAAAGACATGCTTTTCAAGGACAGGTTCAAAAATAAGCATGTGATGTTGGCATAGAGCCATAATTAGAGTACAACCCTGAATTTGTAAAGCTTTCTTCACAGACCTCACTCCCACCTGAGACCCAGAAAAGGACAATCATGTGATGAGATACTTACTGAATATGTGGTCTCTTAAATTAGCAGGGTGCCAACATGGTAACATTGCATTTAGTACCAGAGACAGAATATTTGAGAGTCCAGGTGGGTGAGTTTTTGGGTCAAATAATGGGGCCCAGACCACTTGGGTATGTGAACTATGTCCTGCTTCACACACTCCCTTCTTCCCTCAGCCCCAGGACTGACCACTTTGCCCTAGGGAAGGGAGCTACTCTTGGCTGTACTTCAGTGGAGGAAATGCTTTGCACCTCTGAGAGTGTAAAGGTGTGCCACAAAACCATTCTCTTCTTGAGAATGATCTTAAGAATGTAGTATCTCCTTATCAAAGAAAGCAAGTGATAGCTCACATATATCTAACTCAGAGTTGCTGCCTTTCCTCCAGAATTTATATAGTCAAGTGACCCATCCTCAAGAGA